TCGAAAATGAGCTGAACTAATGCAATCTTGCTTTGCAGGTGTTAAAAGATCATATATGGAAATGCTAGGTCTTTTACCAACACTATCAAAACTTGGAGAACCTGATGAATTTTATAAGCTACAGACAATTAGACCTATATGTCTTAATCACTGTCCACTATATGCATCTAGTACCGTATCTGTTAGCTTACATTGTTCGATTTTTGGCAAATTTAAGGATTTCTGTGAGGAAGCCCCTGTGGGCTTAATGTGAAATTTAAATGGGAGGACTGTTGCTTCAACGCCTCCCCATATCTCGAAAATTGTGAATATTTTTTAAATTTCTGCAAGGAAAAAGAAAAAGAATATTCTTTTCATGTGACTAATTTTCTGTGCTTTTTAGTTACAATTGCAGGTATAGTAGTAAATTCAATTTGATATATTTTTATATGAATTTGTGAGTGATTTTGATTGCAATTTAGGGCCTTACTTTTCTGTTTCCGGTGCTGTGCTTTCAGATATTGCTATAATTGACCCGCTTACTCCAATGTATCCTCTTATTTGGCAAAAAAATAATGAAATGATGGTATCAATTTCAAGAATGTTTCGTGCTTTAAAGAAATCTCTCAAACTTCTTGAAGAACACTATAAACATGTTGATGAATTAGCTCAAGACATCTCTCGAACTGCCCACCCTGTGCATCTATCATTTCCTGATGTAGTTATAAATGGCAAACAATATAGCGTTCAGTTCGATTCTGATTCCCAAGTTGGTGTTTTTCTTCTTTGGAAAGTTGGAATTTTAGACACACAAGAGATATATTGCATAGCCTACGTGAGAGCTGTTCAAAAGCATCAATATTCGCTTGACACATATTGGCTTTTAGCTGATGCTGAATATGCTCCAAAAGTTTTTGCTACTTCAGTTATTCCTAGAAATTGGCTTTTGGTTTATATAGAACATTTAGACAACCATTCAATGCTAAGTCATATCACCATTAATCTTAATAATCAAGAACAAGATGATTTAAAAAAGAAAATTGAAATAGTAGTTAAATATTTGCATGATTTAGAGCACGTACATGGGGACTTATGTGAAGATAATATTCTAGTTCGCCAACTTGAAAATAATGAATTTGATGTGAAATTAATTGATTTTGAATGGTTTGGGAAGATTGGTTCTGCACATTATTCTCATTTTATGAACCATGTTAGTATTAAATGGCCGTATGAAGCAGAAGATGAGAAACTAGTCACGAAAAACCACGATATGGCTATGTTGAATCAG